TAGTTGAGAATTAGATTATCACTAGGGGGCACTACAGACTGAACTATACCAAACCACATTTTAAGCTATACTTCAGCATTTCATTTCAGTTGCACTTTCTTGAGGCTTTCAGTTAACGCAGAAAGTGGCTCTTGCTTTAGCAAAATATTTGACGGACACTGTTCCCTATTATTTCAACCTATTTTTTTATGGTGATGTTGGAATTGTTCTATTCAGTAATGTATCTGAAACAAAAAATAGTTTTTGTTTAAATAGAAACAATTATCAAGTTGTAATAAAATATATTTAGGAATCAGCTAAATTAAAAAAAAAAAAAGTTTTCACCTAAATTTCCTTAAGTCTTAAGCTACCTGGGAAACACAGGCCACAAAAGTTTCATGGTGAGAAATTTTTGTGCTCCTAACTATACTAAATTTATTTTCCCACCAAATAGAAAAAGAAGAAGAATGTTAAAGAAATAAATCTGCAGGCTTTAAAAGCTTATGCTCTTAAGGAGAGAAAGACATGATGGGTTTCTGTGTTCTCATTTAACAGCAATTTTCTCCCCATGATATATAAATAACTGATCATCTGAGGACATTTATATGAAAACTGTAAATATTACACAGTATTAAAAACAAGACTTCTAATGCTAGGTACTAAACTGGCATTTTGGATATTTTTTTCCTAACAGGCATGCTCCCTCTAATCCTGCTGTAACCTGAGGAAATGAGCTTATTTCATCTGACATAACAGAGCACACACATCTCAGTACTACAGGAGGCATTCAAGCAAAATCTGCATTTGGTTACTAATTCGTCTTCTACCCCTTGCTAATCCTGTCTGTCAGCCAAAATAAAACCCCACCCCCAAAACGCTACTCCTTCCATCCCAGTTTCTCTAATGGTATTATCAATTTAGTTGTTTGCACCAAATAAATACTGTAGGAGTTTTCTTCACAGTTAGGTGCACGTTATCATGCTGAGATCATGTGATCTCAAGATGAACTCCTGGCACATGCCAAGGATCAGGAAGTATGCCTTCTCTACCAGGCAAACTGGGAGAAACTATAGTGAGAAAGAGATGTAGGTACATGAAAATAGAATGCAATGAAGAAAGAGAACATGGTTACTTGCAAAATGAAATGAGATTTCATGTAGATACTAGGAGTTTTTTTGAACTCATAAATAAGCACTTGAACAGGGGGATTGGATATACTGCATTCATGTTTCTAAAATACTTCTGAAAAAGAGTCTTCAGCCCATGTTTTAAATTACTAAAACCAGAATAGAAGTTCTGTTACAGAGCAGCAACCAATAGGTAAAAAGTGGTAAAATACATATGGTCTGGCACAGGAAGTTTCTAGGTAATGGTTTGTTGGAAGCTGCATGCTTCCTGTGTTCTTTCCTATGCATCCACTAATGGCCACTGTCAGAGGCAGGATATTGGTTAAGAAGGACATCTGATTTAGCACAATATATCTGCTCCTTTTGTTTACATACTGTGTAACTGAAAAAGACTGCTGATAACAATCTGAAGGAAAACCCTCAGAGGACTGTGCATTGTGGAAAGAATTTGGTCTTTTCAATATCCATTGTTTCAATGCAAACACCTCCAAAATTAAGTTACATAAAAAGGCCAAGCAAGAATGAAAATCTCCATTCGAAGCTAAACTCAAATATTATCGGATTTATTCTTCAAATACAAGAAAAAAAAGTTATTTCTTGCAGAATAGTAATTTCCAATTACATTCACTTAGATGTTGAAACATCTTATTTTGGCATTTCAAAATAGAAACATTTAAATTTTGACATGGCACTGAATGAGCAATTGAGTCAGCTGAACACTGAGTTGTATTTATATAATAATCTATGCTGATTTGATGAGTTTGAGGCCTGAAGAGCAAGTAGACCTTATTCTTTCATCTAAAAGTAGTCATAGCACACCACGATGTTGTGGTATATGCAAGCAATCCACCTCATGCATCCATATTAGGACAATGAAAACTTGACAGAATATTAAATTCTTACAGTAGTGGATATTACACAAGTTTGTATTACATATGAATCATAAACCTCTTTCCTTACACTGGACATACTTCCATAAACTTTGCTTGGGAAACTGATCTGAAGTAGAAGTAAGAATTACAGCCTATTGTCTTCCTCTGTGGACTTCAGTGGTTTTGTTTTGTTTGGTTGTTTTTTTTTTTTTTTTTTTTGGTTGGTTGGTTGGTTGTTTTCTTGTTATTCCTTTTGTTATTTGTGTGCTACTGTTGGTGTGAAGGAAAGATGGCTTCTGCTGGAAGATGACTGATGAAGAACTAATTACAAAGTAAAATAATTCGGCATATGTGGCAACTTCTCAAGGCTGCCTGGGTTTCTCTGTTCTCAGTGTAAAATATTCATAATGCTACAGTTCAGTAAGTACTCACATTCCTTATGTTTGTCTTCCTGCTTAAATAACATAACCTCTAGTATGAATTAAACTACCTCGTACATTAAGCATACAGCACGAAAAGCAACATGAATGCTGATGCAGGTTCCACGTTAGCACAGTTGCTTTCAGGTAGCAATTTTTATGATAACTAGCTTGCAATTAAGGTAAGGCTCCATGGTGGACTCCCCTGAATATCTGACTTTGGTCTCCCAAGAAAGTGCCCAATTACATGATATTGATAAAGTGAAGACAGATTATAGTAGGAGAACTTTAGGCAGGGTTCTCTAGTACTCATCTCCACAATATTTATGAGCTCCTGTTTTAATGACTTCAAAATGTCTGAGAATCTCCCTTCAGCTAAGTTCAGCTTCCTGGAAATGGTTAGTTGTTTCACCTGAGGTCTGGTTTTGGGGACCAGAATACTTTCCTGCAGACTAAGTCATTAAGCATATGGCTTTTAAATTTTTAATCCTCTTTAATGCATAATCAAGGAGAGAAAGAATCTTCTTTTTTCTGTTGGGTCATCAGAATCTACTGTTCACTATGAAAAACCTCTACATCTCAAGTTATTCTTTGCTTTTTGTGGTCAAAGTGTTTCCAAGGTCTGAGCAGATGATACAAGGAAAAGAATAGCTAATCTTCCATATGAAGACCACAAAGATAACAGGTAAAGGAAAGTGATGACCTGGGATATGAAAATATTTTATCCACTATTGAGTAATGCTAGTTACTGTACATGAAAATTACTTTGGATATTGTGCTAACAGTGAGTCCCCAGTTATATAATAAAGTACTCTGAAGTTGCTTTTAACTAATGTAAACAAAGGTAAATTTGAAGTTCACTAAGCAATAAAAAAACTTGCTTGCTCCTTAAAAAATATAGTCAACATTAAATGAATTATTTCTGTGCTAGGATTTTTGAAGGAAGAACTATTTGACTGTTTAGTATTAAGTTGTACCAAAATACAAGCATTTTTAGAGATGACAATGAAACACCTCAGTAAAAAAATTGAGTATTGTTGAATAAATTACATGAGAACTTTGTTTTCTCTCTAAATAGTGACAAACATGAACATAAATCCAAAACAAGTAGTTCGTCATCTCTCAAATCAGAAAGTGATACGAAATTATAATACACTAAATGATGTTTTTAACACACTACTTACATCTTTTAGGGTAATAATATTTGGATGCTGTCCGTAACGCAGTAGGATTTCAATCTCCTCTGTTGGATCTCTTTTACTCTTGTCAATAATCTGCATGAGCAAATAGATAATATAGACATAATTATTTTGTGAATATCATATAGTGTAACACTTTGGTGTTCTTACTAGTAAGAGCACCAAACAATATTTATTGTTGATAGTAAAAGGCATGGATTATAACCAAAACAAGGTTTGTTGAATTGGAACAGCAAGGCAAAGCAAAATACATCGGAGATACATGGAAAAATCTCTCAGCTGAAAACAATTTTGGAGGATAAGTAATCCAGTCCCTCAGGCTGTGATAAATAATGCTAGGCTGTTTAGTAGATAAGACTTCAGTCACCCTTCATTTAATAAAATAAGTTTCTAATTTGACATGAGATACTGTTTTGACGATGCTTAATGAACAGATTGTCAAAGCTAATCTCAAGTATTTGGTGCAGCAGAAGTCAAAGCAGGACAATAATTATTCAAAAATAAGAAAGGAAAAATTTCTCATTTAATTTTGAAAGTTCATTAGAATCTCAGGCTTGCTATCAGGCTCTGAAATTTCCCATGTCAACAAGCAAAATATTTTTCCCTACTTAAAAAGTATTCTTATAATAACTATAACTCCTTCTGAATGTAGTTTCCTTTAAAGTCTTTTGTCTCACCCCTTCTTCCTCTTGGTATCCTCGAGCCCTTACTGCTACCAGCACCTTCCTAACACATTGGCTACCTTATAATCTTCTCATGATACCTTGAGGAAACAAAGCCACAACAGAGGCAACAGAAAAGTAAGGCAATCTTCACAATAAACGTTACAGCGTAGAGAATTAACATCTACACCAATACTTTCTTCCTATTTCAAGAAATTACTTTAAATTGCAAGCACCAAAGTCAATCTGTTCCTGGACAGAAGAGGGTAAACACCGTTTAACTACCAAATTGAAATTTGGAGGTTTTCCAGCAGACAATATGCATACAATTATACAGCAAAACATACTTAATTTATCTTTGCATTTTAAATATTTAAATAGTAAACCATTCAACAATTCAAAAAGAGAACCACCTCATAATACAGGATTTATAACTTTTTTTTTTCTTCCTCTCCTTTGAAAGTCTGCTGCTTCCATACTGGTGCTTTCATTCAGCCCAAAAGTGTCATACAGAAAGACAGAAAACCTTATCATTGCACTTCTGGGCACTCTTTAAGAATTTCATGCCTTCAAAAAAGTGCTGGAAGGCCTGGTAGCATAACATAAAAGCAGCATTAGAAACCTTGTTAAAAACTAGCAAGCAAAGGCAAAGAGTTAGAATTTTATTCTGGAAGCTATACCAGACTTAAGCACTGCAATGAACTCTGAGCTATCTGACAATTTATGAATCTACTTTGGAAGCAAAAAACCCATATGTTTAAATAAAAGTAATCAACCACATCTTTAAAAATGAAGAAAAGTCATGTAAGGTTTTCCTAGTACATTTCCTTCTAGAAACAGTCATATAACTCCCATCAGTTTTACTGTAATTACATAGGCGTTCTAAAGACTGAAGATTGCTTTTCACCACCCAAACCAGGATACAGGTAACAAAACCCACAGCAATTCTATATAAATTTCTGCCAGTAAATATTTTATTTGGTTGATTAGTATTAGTTCATATTTGCATCTAAAATCTTCTTATATTTAAAAAAAAAATCTTAGTTTGCAATATTCATTATGGCAAACAAATTAATGATGCCCAAACCTGAAAACAGTGTTTTACAACTTAGCAATTACCTTTACAGCATATTCCATGTTTGAAGCTTTATGAATACATCTCTTGCAGATAGAGTAAGACCCCACTCCAATATCTTCCTTTACTTCATATCCATCAGTAAATTGAATGCTGTTCCTGTGCAACTGCTACCAAAATGACATTATCAATTGATGAATATTCTAAATATATAACTGACCTTTATATTAACAATGTTTTGGGCTCCCTACTGATTTGCTTTGAATTTTAAACTGATGGTTGTACTAGATAAAAGTGGTCTAAATAGTCACTACTTTGGGTTTGATATTAGCATGAGATAAATTATATATTAGATACATTGCAAATAATACACACTGTATTTTAGAAACTGACAACATAATTTCTCTGGTTACTGATTTATTAATTTAAAGATCGAATCTCCAAACCAATGAAGATCAGAAGACTGTATGATAAAATAATGGTAAAAAGAATCACAGTTTCTAATATTGAATAGAAGAATGAAAGCTGGAAAACTCAGTCATACTGAATAGAATCAGATTAAGTGGAGATTGCCTGGAATGGCAGTCAAAAATCTTTTCACAGAAATAAAAAGCTGAAAGAAAGACAAGTGTTCACTCTTGTAAGGGAAGGAAATGGTGTTCTAGTATCAGGAGTCTGTGCAAAGGATGCAAAGCATTTGCAGGAAACCATCTGGGTATCCTGCAGCACAGAAAAGAGGAAATAAGAGTGAGGAAGTGGTTGAGGGGCACATAGGAAAGGCAGCAGAGAAACAGACCCTTACAAGAGAATGAAACCATACACAAAGAGAAGGAATTGAATCCACAAAACTATGTGAGAAAGAAGGAGCGCAGAAAAGCCTGTGCTTTTAGCAAGAAACTTTTAACAAGACTTAAGGTCATTCTCATGCGTGTATCAAATCAGATACCTTCTTTAGAATAAAAAAGGATCTAAACCACCTTGAAATGTGTTTATTACACATGAAACAGCTAAAGTGTACGAAAAAGCATGTTATGACTATTCTAGATGTAACAAGAGGATTAAAGAAATACAAGAGCTATTAATATTCTTAATTTCAAAAAATCCTCAGGCATTTGCAAGATATCTTTGCAGTGAAAAAATATAAAACAAATTGTACAGTGTACCTTTTTATTTCTACCTATACACTGATAAGTTTTGAACACAACTTAGATCACCACTGTTTTCATGACTCAGGTCTTGCTCAGTAATTATTAAAGGCAGAAAGAAGGAGAAATACAATTTTTGCAGAGGTCTTCCAGTTTTCTTTCCTGCAGATGCATTATCTTTTTTCCCTCCACTGACTGCAAACTCTCCAGTGCTGAACCATACTTTTAGAGTGATCTTAGTCTCATAAGGAGGCAAGGCATGCCTCTCTCCCAGTCTAGCATAAGGTCTACCTTTCTTGTCTCACACAAAACTGCACCTAGCCAAAGGTTTGTTGTCCAAAAATAAGCAGTACTGGCAGTAATATAACATAAGAATAGCGACTGCATTAGCCTATTAAAAGTGACAACCTCACAATTATTAATTTGGGAGATGGTATTGGAGTCAATTCTAAAACTGCCAGGAAGCAAAAGCTTGTGTGTGTATGGTAACATTAACTTGTATTCCACTGAAAAATGTGGCTTGGGAGGGACAGAATCCATCCTGGGTCACGGGTTCTAAAATATCCAAACACAATCAAAATTGCACTCCAGAGCCTCCTTATTGCTCTGCAGGAATCAACTGATATTTTCATGCATAGGGGAAAAAGATAAAGATGTTTGTTTTTCCCCTGGCTTGATATTGAAGAGTTAATACAGTGCAGATGGTAGAATATTTTCATTTAAGGCTCGAAGCCTACTCACACCTGTGGCTCCTCAGTAATTAAACAGGTCCTGCATTGTCAGAGGTTTTGTTTGGATAAAATAATCTGATCTTTGCTTTTCTAGCATGAAGATAATAATGACTTTGTCACAGTACTTCACTCTGTGATGAAGGAAACAATCCTTGCACCAAGGGAGAACAATAAAGCTTTGACTTTTTTTTAAAAGTAGAGGTACTCACCTGGACAATTGAATGCACTCCAACTGTCTGCATTGCTTGGCTTTCATCATCTGAGGCAATAGCTACAAAACTAAATCCCCGAAAAAGTTGATGTGCATTAGCACTGGGTGGGATACCAGGCGAATCTGGAAAAAAACATCATCTATTTACAAGCAGAGTTTTTAAAATGTAGAGATTATGTCTACTCTGGAGAAAAAACTACACCTTTATAAAGTAAACAGAAACTAGAATTTGCAGGAAGCGTTTCTGAGGACCAAAACACCAATAATAACTGAATTGTTTTGCATATACCGTCTAGAAACAACTGATAATCAACGACTACAAAGATCATATTACTGTCAGACAGAATTTTATTATACGCAAAACAGCACTTTGTGTATAAATACAGGAAATATTTACATATAGCAACATACCTATGTTATATTTATGGAGGTGAACTACTCATATTTTGGTAACACACTAAATTTAGGAGGAAAATTTCTATCATATTTTGGATGGATCAGTGTAAGACTATGCAAAGAAAGATTGCAGTGAAGCTGCAACTTTGCCACCCAAAGTCTGAAATGACTAAGCTTCTACATATACATAGTAGAGTCATCACCCCTAATTAAATGAAGCCTTTAGAGACACAGAGACACAGATAATCTTTCAGAGTTAGAAAAAAAAGAGATTACCTAGGTAAGTAAAATTGAACTTACATATATGATTTGCTACTGAGCATTGTTTTAACATGGACACCTCCGTTGCCCGTTGTGATATATTTACATCAAAGACTATAAAAACTTTTATAAACTATGGAATACTTGTCTGTGAGCATTCATTTAGGCCATCAATACCGGGCAGAACATGACACTTTACATAAGATGAACAAGAACAACATTTCCAATTTCTGAACACTTAAATTGTTTAATTCTTCTCCTTTTACCTTTTGGAGTTTTTGCTGTAAACTCAGGGTCAAAATAAAATGTATCTTCAGGTCTGCCAGTTGCAGGTTTAAAAGGGGGATGAATTTCTCTCCTGTACAATTTCTGAAGAGAAGGCATAGGCCAGAGTGAATTAAGATTTTATATGACACCAGCAAACACTTAACAAAGAAATTTACTGAACTGATTTTGAATTAGATACTCACATTCCAATCTATTTTGGAAAAGAATGCATGCCTCTTAATTTCTTCAACTCCATCAGGACCTGCTCCTTTAATAAGGAAGAGAAATGCCTGTGAATTATTTTCTTCTTGGTCAGAAGAATGACTAGCAAAATTATATTTCTTATTTCTTCTGCATTAATTTAGATGTATGAATAGCAGAAATAATATTTTGTTGATCACTAGAAGAGCAAAGAGGCAAACAATATTCTTACTTCCAAGCCTAGTTTACACAAGAAACTATAAATTTATTTAGTCAGTTTGATGACCATTGATGTTACCAATATTATGATCAAATTTTAAATATTCTGCTAAACACTCTACCTAATCTGTTTGCTGGGTTTCTTTTGAAGAGCATTCGCAGAAGACTCTGTGCTTCAGGACTCAAGAACTGAGGCATTCCAAGTTTTGCCCTATAGAACAAAAACAATTAATAGCATGCAAACATATTTAGGTAAGAATTAACTCTGCATCTGCCCTGTCCTTTATCATTCCACAAATCCATATAAAAAAAAACCAGCATCACTGAGGAATTGCCTTCAGACATCAGAAACAGAGCAAAAGTGCTGTCAGTTATGTAAATCTGTCATGTCTTTTCCACCCCCTCCTTTCCCTGTTTTGAATAGTATAGTATTTTCAGTAGTGACTCAGGAACTTAAGTAGAGGAAGAGGTGGTAAACATGTACAAAAGAATAGTCACAGGATAACAGCACACAAACTTGGGAATTTTTCTGATATGCTTTGATCCACTTTTAAGTCTAGTTAATATCAAATGACACCAACCACGCAAATCCATTCTGATTGTAAGATAAAAGACATTTTAGAAGTGGTAAAACTACCACAGTATGGCATACACCAAGAAGACCCAAGCAAAACAAGAGGAAACCTAAGCTAGAAGATAGAAATTGAGCTAAGGTAGGACAGATTTCACAAGATTAGCAAGTTAAAAAAAAAAAAAAAAAGAGAAAAAGATCACTCCTTTCTTCCTTTCATTTTGCTTCCCCCCAATTTATTTCAAATATTACTTTCCAATTTGCCATCTTGAATTTTTAGATTAAGCTTTTGTAGTTCTGTCATTTAATTTTGTTTTGTAATGCTTGCCATATTTTTCTCCTCTCCGTTTAATGTTGAGCCTCCATCCTCTCACTGTTACTAGGTTTTACTTTTTCTAATGACTTGATAATAGTAAGGATGGATATAATTCCCCCCTTTCCATCTCCCATTCAACCTGTAGGCTGTATTTTTCAGTAACAATCAATGACACAAGCGTTCTCTGTTTCAACCAGAAGACATGAATTGCCTTGTGTTCCAGCTGTTCATAGATGTCCACCTCTGTGCTGCTTCAGCAAGTGCATACACACAGCCATTGATTCACTCCCTATTCATTACTGCAAACTGAGAATTTACTCTATTTCCCTTTCCTTTTGACAGTAAAGAAGCTGGGGAGGGGGAAGTCTGAAAGCCTTTGCCTTCTTTGGGCCCTTTAGTAACATAGTAGAGGCAGATCAAGAACCACCAGTGGAGTGCAGGAATGGGCAGTGGGCCATCCAATGCTTCCCCAGTCACCATGCACCACTAACAGCTGAAATCTTATTCATGGACTTTATAGGCAGGGAATTTCACTGCACATTCACTTGATGGCACTTCTGCTCACAGTAAAGTATCACAGAGCTACACTGTGAGAAGGAAGCAAGGAACACATGGTCTGCAGAATCACAATGGTATCATTTACAATGTGCTTTAAGGACAGAGAATGAACAACTAAATATGGGGGGGACTTATGCTGGAGTGTATGGAAGTCTTTGTCCTGTTCTAATCCAAATCAGCTCCAACAGTAGGATACAACTCTGGAGATTCAGCATGAGAGGTCAACTGGTTAGAAAAATCTAAAACCAGGCCAAAAACATGGCTGCAATTATTAATCTAATGGAGAAGTGATTCAATGAACAGAAACAGTACGTAGAAGAAATTCTGAAGGACTGGTATGTACTAAGGTCCACAGCAGAATGAGCGGGAGGCTCTTGTGCAAACTACAGAGATTAAGACTATCATTGCTCCCTTTCCATCACAAAGAAGCACCTTTTACAAAATCCTTCACTGGCCACATGACAGAGCAGAAGAAACCAGGTTCTCAGAGTTCCTCAGTTATACAAATACATGACTGACAGCAATTTTTTTCTGACCTTCCTGGACAATGACAAAATTTCTGTGAAGGCATACCTCTTCAGTAAAGGAGAAAAGATGCTTTAAAAATTTAACTTTTTTGCTGCAAATGACAATTTCTTCATATTGCAGAGTTTCTCAGTTTATAGGTAACATACGCAAGAAGAAACAAAAACTTGTCTTGGTAATGTGGTGAGAAATAAAGAGCCCAGAAAAACATGTGTTGTAATAATACATTTTCTGCGGATTTTCAGGAACAGAAGGTAAGAAAATCAATTTATCTTAAATGATACGCTATGAAAATTTTAATTCATATGCACACCTGTCCATTTTAAACAGCTTTATGAAATATTTAAGGAGAAATATAGTACATTTAGTAGTATACAGAAAGTAAAAAGAAAACATATTGCCATTCTTATGGGGCCAGACAAAAAATGTGAACTTATCAGAAAATACTTCAAAATATCCTGTTTTTCAGTTGTTCTATTAGGAACAGCAAGATATATGTATGTAATAATCCTAAGTGTACAGAATCTTAAAACAAGTAAAATTTCTTTACTTCATATCACATTTTTTGTGCAGCTCTCTGAAACTAATAGCAATAACAAAGACTGGAAGGTGAGAACAGAAAGAAGATAGAAAGGGAATTAGAGATACATGCTCAGAGGAAATTGGAAAGTATTTAGGAATGTCAACTGACTGCGGAGATGCAAGGAGGATATTCTACAAGGCAGCGGAATACAGATTTTTGTGGCAACAGCAGAAAGACTGTTGAGGAACAGAGGGGAGTCGCATGCAGAGCAAAGAAAATGCTGTGACTCGTGAGATATGGATAGGTAAGGAAAAACAAAAAGCATGGCTCCTGAAATAAGTGAGTGCAGTAGAACTATCTCAGGCTAGCTTCTTGTAAATAGGAGGTGGTCAGAAGACGTTTATGCTTGCTGTGAACAGACAGAACCTTTTAGTTAAAGACATTCAATAATCGTAACAAAGATTTGAATTGTCATGGTCTTGAGGCAGCAGAAGAAACTAGCATCACTAAATATATTTTCAAATATAAGATGAAGAAAAAAAAGGGCAAAGAATAACGTAACAGGTATGCATTATGAAAGCAAAAGCAGGGAAAGGAATGAGTTTGTTTTTCTAGGGGTTTTCACACTCTAATTACTTGGAAAAAATATTAAAGAATTTCAAGTAGTTATTTTTCAAAAGAGGCTGTGGGTACAAGAGAACTGCTGGCTTCAATGTATGGGTAGACAAGTGCTAACAGGGCTAAGAACAATGATAAACAACAAAGGAAAAAACACAATAGTCTTATGAGCTTCCACGGAAAAAAATGGTATTAGTAAAAAATGGATGGAACCAGAAGTGAAACTATGATATAAGGAAATAGAGTTGTTTGCACAGCATTAGGCTACAGTCCCAAAAGCGGGACAATTATGTCATAGGTTATATTAGTTCAGAGAGTATGTAGGGGACCAGCAAGAAAATAAAAGCAGGCCATCATTAGCAGAGCCAAGAATGTTAACTGCATGAAAGAAAGCAATTTCCACAACACAGCTAATGCAAAACCTATACTGGAAATAGCAAAGGGGAAAACTGAAGCTTGGGCAAGTCATAAGAGAGTACATAAGGGAAGATGCACTTCAGCAAATAGGGGAAGTATCAGGGAAGCAAGTTGTTGGCAAAACCAATACTATAAAGAAGAAGGGTGAGGAGCTGGTAAGATAAGAGAAGGATAAGGGGAGAGAAAATGCTTTCTTAAAAAAACCCAACCTAAACCAAAAAACAACAAGGAAAAATGCAGTTTATCAAAAAGGATAAGAAAGTTAAAAAATATTATGGAAATAAGATGGGAAAGATTTGTATGGTTGGAAAAGTTATTATTACAGAACAGAGAGCTGCTATGAAAGTCTTTGTACCTAGTATGGGGGAGGAATAGAAAGGCAAATTAGATAGGAGGCAAAGGGAATTAATAGTATGGAATAGGGAGTGAGGATTTACCAGTACCTTTGGAAATGAGGGAAGAGTAGAAATTAGATATTGCAGCCCGGAGGGCATCCCTGTAGAATACCTGATGAGATATATAAATAAGAGTGTACTCACTTGAGAATCATAGTCATGGTTTCTTTTCTGTCTTTCCCTTGGAAAGGTAGAGTACCAGTGAGCATTTCAAACTGTATAGAGTAAAACTTTTATCAATTACATTAGCTGGACAAAATCTAATTTTTGACAAAACTACTTAGCATCTTAACCTTTCAAAATTCATGCATGTTAACAATTAAGTCTGTGCAAAACAACTTCTCATTGTACAATTTAAATTACTGTGAACATAGAGCAGCCTTTGCTATTTTTAAAGCTGCAAAATATTTTCTTATATTGATACCTTGCTTTACATGCTTTTATCTGAACAATTTAGACTATAATGTTCTGTGTTTCATATCTGCCTAAAGTTTATTCTTGGAAGACTTGATCTATACAAATGTATTTTAGTTTTCAAGAGAGCGTGGGGTAGGGAAAAAGATTCCTCTTTCAAAAGTTAGTGACGATTTCTCCTCATGCAGAGTTACTTAAAAAGTCAAAAGTTTTAATACTGGCATGTACATAGCCTTCATTGGAAAGAGGAAAAAGGTTAGTTGATTGACAGAGACATGCATGATGAAGTGTGGCTACTGTATGCATAGAGTGGAAATAAAGCCTGAAGGAACATGTAAGAGCTACACAGTACGTGCATGCACATTTTACAGTGCCTGGTAGTAGACAACAGACACTACTAAAATACTGATTTGTTCTGAAAGTGACTGAGTAAAAATAGATAAATATAAAGGCACTTCCATGGGGCTGCAGTACACTGCAGGGATATCAGACTTGAGGGAGGTAGTGGCAGTATTATGGCAGCAGTCACCACTCAGGCAGAAATCGTGATTTTTGGTTTAAGAATTGTAAAACAATCTAGTTTAGTGAAATTCCATGGGATAAACTTAGAGCCATCAAAATAAAAATAATTATAAAGGAACCCTCTGAACAGCTTATGCAAACTTAATTCATCCTGAATACAAGGTCTCTATTCCCTTATTTCTGCTACGACTCAAATATTTGGCCTTCTAAGCATTAAAAATATACATGGATAACTTGAGTGAATGTGTGATTACAGTGTTAGATGTACAATAAGAGCATGAAGTTGCACTAACATAATTCTTTAAAGCCCCTTTTAATTAAAATAAAATTTAAAATTTCTTACTAGCCCATAACGTATATGGAGAATAAAAGCTGCCCACTCTTCACTACTACTGGATGCTTATATTTAAAATTTTAAATTTAATATAATGCAAATATGACAAAATCCTACTTTTAATACTCTAGGTCGTGAAGATGTGAGAGGCATAAGCCAAAACTATTAAAAAAAATATCAGGTTTTCTTTGTTTATGGTTTAAAATTATCTTCACAAATTGCACTGGGAAAAAAAATTTTTTTTAAGGTAAATCTGTAGTGCTGCATGTTTCACCTAGACTTGTTTGAAATAAGAAGTTTCTTTAGCTGGCTCCTATTTGTCATAAGCATACAAATTTGTATTAACAGCTCAGCATATGCATTCTTTATACCCCTCTAAAATACTGTATTCCAACATTAGTAGGCCAATAACACTTTACCAATAAACCAACACTGGCCTTCCCTGGTTATTGTGGTGTTTTACTTCAGCAGGACAACAAATAGACGATGCTTGTGAAAACTTGAAATTAATGTGTTTAGATGTCTAACTTCCCTTAAAATAGTCACTGTTTTCAAGGACAAATTGGAATATACTTCTCAAGGATGGTTTAAACATATTTATTGTCTAGCAGCAGGAGAAAAGAGCCCAAATGGTTTGTTGAGGTATCTTTTTAGTCTCCATTTCTAGGCTATAACTTATGTTCAATCTAGATACTATGTACTCATAGCCTACCAACAACCATTTGAATTCTCAATCAACACAGACTCTAAGAATGATTTAAGAGTGGATACAGATTGTATGCAAACTAGAAATGCAAGCAACAAAAAAGTCTTAGAGAAAAATCACACTGTATTCCATATACTAGTTTAGAGATTATGCTTTTTAAGGTCATGTTTCTGTATTCAAAGTAGAAGCCACAGTGTTTAAAATACAGGGCACTTTAGGCTGTGAAAGCTACACCAGCCACATCTAACATCTTTCAGCAATTTTACATTTTAACATAAGCACAACAAGTAAAGCTGAAGTCTAACAGTGTTTGTGTTATCAACAACAAATATTCTGCAACTACACTGTAATTATCTTTTAATTGACTGTGTTCTTACTAATAAAATGTGCAGTTGTGAGGGCTTGTGTGTGGGTTTGTCTGTCTGGAGAGAATTCAGTTATCAGGTACTACTTTTACATAGTCAGTTTTCAGACCACAACAGCATTTGAGATGATTAAAGGGTGATAGGATGACTTATTTTCAGACACAAGAGTCCTCCTCATACTACAAACCACACACATTAGTTGTACTGTTACAGTCATATGTAGCAGAAACAGTAAGAAACAAAAACATTTCCTTTAAAAATACAATTATTTAATCTTTATGTCAAAAATGCACACAAAGATTACAAATATTAAAGCCATTCAGCATTCCCAAAACATCCAACATTATCTGTTTTTCTTTCCCAAAGCTGTATTTGGTACACACATTTCCCCCAACACTGCAACTTCACATATGTTAACTCCTTGAAAAAACACCACAAGTGACTGAGCAACTATGTCTCGTATCAGCTCAGTGTCATTTTGATGTGTAAGAGCAACAGCTATCTTTATTCCACTAAGCTGTAATTACACTGGAGACTAATTAGAAAGTGACCGTTAACTTTTTCCCACTTAAGAATAAATTAAAATTTAAAATTTAGATATACATTTCTTCCCAACCTTAGAAGAGACAGTAGATTTAGTATTCCTATTCGTCTCTGTAACATTCAAACTACAGATGTGTAGTATTTCAAATCAATGATAACAAAAATATGGCATACTGTTGGTGTTGATATGAGGCCTAATCCATGTTCTTGATCCAAATTCTGTGGTATTGTTATCAATTTCATGTAGTTCAGACTTTTTTTTGATAGTTAGAATTAATTTAAAGCTCACCTTGGAGTGTAATGTCTTATTTGTTTCACAAAACCTCAAAAAGCACAGTTTTTCTATTATTTATATTTACCAGAAACCTACCATTAAAACACCAAAAGACCACCAGTCTGCACTCTGTGTGTGGCCTCGTCTATTAACAACTTCAGGTGCCATATATTCCACTGTTCCACAGAAAGAGTAGGCTTTTTTTTCATGATCAATTGACTCCTTACTTAAACCAAAATCTGGAAGAAAAAAAAAAAAATTTGTTGTAGATGTATTTTTTTTTTTTTTAACTCATTCATGGTTAATACTTTCACCACAATGCAAAATGTGATGCATAGATCATTTGTATATACACCCAAATACACATATGGGAATTACAGAATTCTCCTCCCCACAGGTCCATGACTTGTGAAGCAGATATCTTATTTAAATCTTTATATATTTATTTCAAACTAATTATGCTACTTGCTCCAGAGCAAAATTACCTACCAGTTAAAATTACTTATTTCACTATGTTGCTTTACTGAAAAAAAAAAAAAAAAACCACACAGATTTTATTATGAATAATAATATCCAGGAGCTGCAATTTCCCTTTACTCACCTGTCAATTTGATATGTCCTTCCTCATCGAGCAGGATGCTACAAAACAACAAAAAGAACAAAATAAGCTATTTAAAATATATTCTAAATATTGTTTCAGACAATGTACTGAAAACACTCAGGAATCAACAGAACAGCACCCACAAAGACAAGCAGAATTGAACATGCATGAAAATGAATCATTAGGAGGAAGAGATACTTTGAGACTACACACTTTCTTTTCCTTCAGTTCATTCTCTTTAAAGATTATGAAACAATCAGCTTATCAGTTTTATTTATTTGGTCAAGTACATTCAGCACACTATGTAATAAGTTTTATCTTGAACTTTCCATGTTGGTCATCTGCAGCATGTGTCATTATCAACTGTTAAAAGATATAGTTTTGTTTCTCTTAAACTGAACAAGACACGTTAATGTATGTAGAATGTATGTTTGTAGAAGTATACAAAATGAGTGTTAATTTGTAACTACTGTTTCAAAGGATGTTGACAACTTCAAAGAACGTGAAGTAATAATATTTTCATGTTATACCAAAGGACAGGATGCACAGGTCATGTACTTACTCCATACTTCTGAGATACCAATTACCTTTAACCACTGCTGAATGTAATCATAATCCAAAGCATACCAAGTATTCAAGAACTAGACTCTGTAACACCACCTACACAGTGGGCTCAGCTCCTCCAGCTTCTCCTGTGGCCAGCTGTGTTTCATCCTGAGGACGACACACAACACAGGCACACAGTACTTGCCCATTTCACCTGACCTTCCCTTTTTCTCCTTGCAGTTTCCATGGTGGGCAACAGCCCTGCAGTATAGATACAGCCTGGGTGAGTTACTACTATCTCATCCATAATTTATAAGTAATTTTACTTTTGATAGTTTTTTGTTTTTTTTTTTTTTAAACAGATATACCCAAGGCTGAAAAACAAGGCTTTTCAATAGGTATAGACACACTTTGGCTTTTTTTCAAATACTATGTTCAAGGCAGTAGCTATTGTCTTCTGTCAATTACTATTTCATTCTTTTCCTGCTAGAAATAAATGTTAGCAAAACAACTAAAGCTCTTTTTCTTTACTTTTTAAAGATCTTTTTCTATTTGGTTAGCTTATTTTTCCTCACTTCAGATAACTTAGCAGAACACTCCCAAAGTTTTAATTAATTCCCTTTTAGTTTGTAAGTGCAACCCCATACCAAAAGTCTCCAAATATCTGATTTGAGTATGGATCTTTTGTTCAGACCTAAACATGTTTAAATTTGTGTCTTTTTTTCCAGGAGATGCACAACAGAATAAGCTATCTTAATGGAAGTTCCACAGAACAGCCAGGTTCTGTGACACTTGTTAATAATTTTTGCTCTCTCACCAATACTTTACATGAGACAGCTATTTTGCACAGACTTTTCAGGTTCCTCATATAGCCATAAGAGAGAAGTGGGATCACTAAGGATATCAGGACTTCAGAGTAACTACAGGTTTCCTGGCAATGAGGTAGAATATAACTAACAATCTGATCAGGCACAAGAGAGGAGATGCACAAATTGTATTGCCACTTAGATTCCCCTCCAGGCAGAGGGTAACACTGTGGCATACGTTTATATCTGAAAGGCTCAAATGTTCCAGATGATAGCACTGACATTTTGTCCTTTATATCTTCTACAACTGAAAAAAAAAAATAAAATTACTGGAACAAAGACAAACAGGAGACAATTCAGTCCTTTGAATGAAGCATGAATAGCTAATACACAATATTGGAACTGTGGCTTCAAGCTTAAGTTTATGTGCTCATCAATAAATAAAGCCTGTGACTTGCTATTTTCATATTTTACTTTAAAACTCCATTCTCTTACTGCAATGCATTTTAAAAATCACTGGAAAAAAAAGATTTGCTGTTAGGCTTTCAACTGCAAAGATACAGCATTCAACTGCAACTTTGTATCACATGTTACATTTATTTGTGGTTCAGAAATTCTACAATAACAACAAAAGCAGAAGGTAAAGAAGGCCTCTTGTCCATTGTGCACCTAAAACACCTGGAAAATGAAAGGTAGGAATGTTGCAGTATACTCTTTTCTTAAAATAACACGGATTGTAGATAGTACTTGGCATACCACACTCTGAAACTAGATGCTCACGTTCTAGTGGAAATGAAATGCAACCTTTTTCATTAAAATAGCTCACAAACTTTCTCCACTTCCCTCCTTATTCAGTTTATGTAGTAAATTAATGAAGTTTAACGTCTGGAAAGAAAAGTGCATATGTAGAAATCAAATTAATACACTGCATTTGCCAAAGAGGAGTCTTACTTTTCTGGTTTTAGGTCCCGGTATATTATTCCAAGACTATGTAGATGATCTAAAGCAAGTGCTAATTCTGCCAGGTAAAACTTCACATCGTCTTCTGTGAACATCACCTGAAAAATCAAACCAGTGTATTTTACTTGTAAAATCTGTAAAGCTTACACCAGCACCACCTAAACAATGCTAATGGCGGTTTTGCAGTACAGTTCATCATAAGACTAGAGTTAATGTCTATACAAAAACCTAGAAATTCAAATTTCTTGGTTAGACAAGAACTAGGACTTTATAATCAATACTATTTCACAGCACATTCTTGAAAAAGAACTTCTGAAGCCAATATATTATTCTTTCTGCAAAACCAAGGTTATTTGCTTCTGATTGTTCAAGAGAACAGACACACATTGTGGTGGGACTTAAAAATTTTGGAAACATTTAAAGAATGTGACCACCTCTTTATTGCATGTGACTATTTCATTTCCACACAACAAATGGACTAAATAAGTCCAAATGCTTAAATTTTTGTCAGGGAGACTAGAAACTGCATTTGGTTTAGAAAAGACTGTCTGTAAGTACTATGAGAAACTAGTTACAGAGATGATAAAAATCCCAAGATGCAGCCTGAGATGTAACTGCAGAAAAGGCAGATCAAAGAGTAAACTAAGGAAACAGCCTATGCCACAGCACAGCTAACACCTCAGGTAGCAATCCCGTATGTTCCGCTGGGAAGACAAACTAATCCCTTTTTACATTCAATTCAATGAACATGTTGCACCAATTATATTAACAACAGTTGTGACTCACTGACAAAACAAATTTTTCTGAGAATTTAAAAAAGAAAAAAAAATCCTGCATGATTCAATTCTACTTCAGTTACTCCTCAGCTTTTTTTTTTTTTTTTTTTTTTTTAGTGTGTGTCCATGTGTGTTTACTTGTTTTGGTTTTTTTTTGAATTTAAGACTAATATCTTTAGATACAGCATATGGACCTGGAAAAAAGACTGGCAATGGGGATCACAGATGAACATTACTTTAAGCAAGAGTTAAGAACAGAAAATAATATATTTTCTCCTTAGTTTAAAGAAAGTGAAATCAAAGCTTGTACAAAATGTTGTTGCTGATGTTACTTCTACAGAAGAACCAATATTTAGTAGAAGCACATTCAAAAAGGCAAATCACTACTAAGAAACATTGAAAAGCTCAAATAATTGAAGATCCCATGAGGATGATAATACACCCACACTATGTTCTTTAAAAACATTTGCATGGAATTAATCTCTCCCAACCTTAAACATCTGCAGTGTAGACATCTAACTCTGAATTGTATCATTTTTCTCTTTGTAGTTCATGGGGGAAAAGCAGGAACTTTTAGGCTGCAGTTCATCTGATCTATTTTAAAAACACAGGAATTGATATGAGGATGATGTTAAGTGCACCCAGCACGCCCATTTCTCTACATCAGTCAGGAACAGTTAGCTTAGATTCAGGTACCTAAAATGAATGCTAAAGGAGTTGGCTGATGAGCTTA